TTCTTTCTTTCTTTCTTTCTTTCTTTCTTTCTTTCTTTCTTTCTTTCGTTATTGTTGTTGTTGTTGAATGCTGTCTCCTTGCTGAGATTTGGTAATGTTACTCTGTCCGTGGTACCTCTCCTACTTGTATCACTATTACTTCCCCTCCCTCCCTATCCCCCTTCTCAGAACTTTGTTTTTTTTTTTCCCATTAAAAACACCATCATCTACCTGATTACTCTGCTTTAAAACCTGAGCATCATGCTCAACCCTTATTCTCACCACCAACCCCCTCCCCAATACCCAGTCACTTGCTATCTTTTCCATTCTTTCAACATACTATGTCTCACATCTTTTCCTTGCTTATACTATCTAGTTTTTTTTTCTTACCACCCCTAACATTGATTGTTAGAGTAGCCTTCCCTTTTCAGTACATTCCCCACACATTGGCCAAAATAATCTTCCTAAAGCACATGTCTGAACATGTCATTCCTCGGCTCATGCACTAACAGTGACTCCCTTTTGTCTCTAAGATGAAATAAAAACTACCTAGCTTGGCATTTATAATTCTTCACAATCTGGCTGGATGTATGGGACATTACTCTCCTTCCTACACTCTATGTTCAGGCCAAACTGACTTACCTGTTGTTTGGCAAGATCAGCAGGCCATCTCCCTTGGACCTTTTTTTGTTCCTTTGCACAGGCTGTCCCCTGGGATTAGAATATGTTCCCTCTTGACTTCCTTTTCGGGTTCAATTTAAGCAGTTGAGTATTTATTAAGTATTTACCATGTGCTAGGCATTGTGTTAAATGCCAGGACTACAGATACAGGCAGAGGGACAGTTCCTACCCTCAAGGAGCTCACATTCTAAGGGGGAAGACAGTTCATAAAAGGAAGTTAAAAAGCTTGAGGGTGGAAGATAATCCTCAAATTCCAGAGAGTCAGGAGTATAGCCTGGAGTGGAATCAAGATGTGGCTGGTGGACATCTCATTTAAATGGAGGTTCTGCAAGAAACCAGCCAATCAGAGGAAGAGGCAGCAGGGGTGGAAGGTACTTGAACTGGGAGAAGTCCAGGGGTAGAGTGACCTTCCTGGGTGAAGAGGTTTCTGTGGTGTGGTGGAGTCTAGAAAGTCACAAGTGCTCCCTGGAGAGAAATGAGATTCAACTCATGATTGTCTCCAACAGGAAACTCTTTGTTGTTAGAGTTCTTTTCCTTCTCTTCAAATGATCGTGCATATACTGAATTTGTTCACACACTTTGTTCCTTTAGAAGAATGTAAGCCTCTCAGGGGAAGGAACTAATTTAAAAAAAAATTTTTTTGTCTACTATCCCTAGCACCTGAGCACAGAGTCTTGCATGCAGTTGGTACTTGATAAATGTTATTGGACTTAATTGGATTGAATTATATAGTTAAAGTTACTATTTTCTTGTGATCATTTTTGAAGAGAAAGTGCATTTCACTCAGAAACCTAGGTTAAATGATTGCTCTGATGTATATGTCAAAATTCTGCATCTAAATTCTATTACGCTCCCAAAAGGAGAAAGAAGACACTGTCCACTAGAGAATGCCTGCCAAAAATTCTTATCCCATATGATAAAGGTTTCTGGCCTTTGGAAGGAAAAATTCTAGAAATCCATTTTTAGAAAGGTGGCACAGTGAATACAGTGGT